TCAACCAGAGGTCGCCGGATGGGAGCAGTATGCCTTATGCGGTAGAGGTGTAGGAACTGTGGGCGAGGTACTGGGTGACTGTCGAGTTGTCCGCTCCTGAGTGGAAAAGCTAGTAGAGGAGTGGACCACCTTGAGGGTCCTGCCAGCCATGACAGTCCAGCTCGAACAGCGTCTCGTAAGCGACGAGCGTCTGTTCAAGGGAACCTTTTGAGGGCACGATCGAGCATGTCCCGGGAATGGGCGGGGAGTAGCTTCGGAAATCTACACCCACCTCCGCCCACTCGTTCTCTACTACACCACTCCCCGTGGCCCCCACCACTACACACAACCATCCATAACGAATGAAAATATTTAACCGAATCATGAAAATTTTGATAAAAAAAATTAAAACGATAATTTTAACTATAGTAATTCTGCTTACTGACTCGGTCAGATCAAGAATGAAGGATGGAGCATTGAACTTCCTTAGTTACGCGACATCACTATAGTAGTGACTTCAGGCACTGAACAATGGAGCTGTAAACTTTCCTGTTGTTGGCTTTACAGGTGTGGTTATGTCTCTCCCTCTTACCCCAATTATGAGGCATCAGCATATACTGTAAGTGGCTGTGAGGGATGAGGGCAACGTTCTGCATTATGGTCTTCAACACAGGAGTGTCGGCTTGTGAAGAGGTTTGTGTTACAGTTCAGCCTGAGTCCCAGCAATGAAGTTAATTCATTATCCTTAAAGCTTTTCGATTTGCACGTCGATCGTTAATGTTAGTTTAACATCTTTATGAGGCACCCCAATGACATCCCGTGGGAGGTAGTTAAAAGACTGCAGAGGTTACATGATGGTCCAGGGACTGGGCCGCAGTGTTTTGATAGCTGAACAAGTTAATCCTGAAGTTTACGTGAACATTTATACCAAGAACACTTTAATCCTTAAAATAGGTTTTAAAGTAAACTCTTTGTATATAGGCTATTTGTTTGTTAAATATTGTGTGGATGTGTTTCATGGAGTCCTTTGTGGGACTCAACTTTATGGACGGCTTGTCACTTTATTACCACACCAGTCTAGCAACATTGTATCACAGTGTAATGCTCCTAGTGTATACACCCCTCATTGTAGTGGTCTGAGCGTATACACCCCTCATTGTAATGCACCTAATATATATACACCACTCGGTACTAAATCTTAAGTTCACCCTTCAATAGTGAACCATAGAACTTCCTAAGTAACCAGCACAGTGATGATACAAACTAGAAGTTTCGGTTCGTGCTGGACTATTGTGATAATGATAGCTGTCCAGCACAGACAGAAACGTCGTCTAGTTTCACCTCCAATTTATATAAGGTTCAGTTGTGAATTATTCTACCCACGGTATTTAATTAGCTTAATATTTTTTATTATGCAGCCCATACCCATCCTGTGGGTGGTAGTCAAAAGATTACAGAAGTACATAATGGGTCCAGGGACTGGGCTCCAAAATTTTAATAGATGAACAAGTTACAATGGCAATGAACTATTTACATATTTATATCTGGTCACAGTGGCAATGAATTATTTATGCAGATGTGAATTACGTCACGCACGCAAAAAAAAAAAGTGGTAATGCGTTATTTACAGTGGGTAAAGCTGTATAGCCCTTGTGGCTTAGCGCTTCTTTTTGATTATCATAATAATAATAATAATACAGTGGGTAAAGTCAGGGTATTTTTCCAGAATCGTTTGTAATATACCACTGTGGGTAAAATACTTTGACATTTCTCGAGCATTTCTGAGTGAGTTGTCTCTGAATGCATTAATTTTATCACATTGTATAGCATATTGACCCAAGGTATGGCAATTGTCTATCAGGCAAAGTTTACATTTCGCTTGGTCTACATCTGCTGGTATTGTGATGTACTGTATATAGCAAGCATAGAATTCACTGCGCATTAGAAGTCATGTCAGAATCCCGCGGTTTTAAATTAAGCCTTGCTTTAACCTCAGAGACATCATTCATAGTCATGTATTGGACTGATGAAGCCACTGTGTGGCGAAACGTTTCCTCAATAAAGATTCCCATATGTTGTACAAGTGTCACAATCTTCAACTTGTCGGCTTTCAAAACCATTCATCACAAATAACGAAAGTGTTTTGTGATTAAAAAAGTAGTGTCATTTTTTGACTATGAATATATTAAGAACGTAAGAATAATGGAGCATTACAGTAAGTCTACTAGTAGGCCTATGCTAGGCAAGTATAACTCACACAACCGTCCAACCTGTATATAATGCTATCCAAGTCCTCGCTCCATTCTAAATGGTTATAAATATGACCATAATTTTTTAAAAGGAAGTGGACCAGGAAGCTAGCTGAAGGCCTCAGTCAGATGACCAAAAGCTCCAACGGCGGGTCAGCATCTAAGACCCGCGTCAGGAAACACTTATCCTGTTTCCTGACGAACCTTACCTACCTTAACCTCGCTCCAGGACCCGCGTCAGGAAACACTTGCCATGTTTCCTGACAAACCTAATACCCACCTTTCCCTGCAGTTAGGCTACCTTATGATTTTGTTCCATTCATCTTCCACTCTGTTGATGTGTATGCAATCTGAGCAACAGTGTAGAGTGTATGTAAACCTGGAGGGGTGTATATCTCAGTTTATATACACTTAGTTTATTTACAATGCCTCCATCCTTGGGATTAAAGTATTCTTGTTAGATAACATGGAATAGGAGGAGAAATTTTTTCCTGGATAGAGGCATGGTTGACAAATAGGCAGCAGAGAGTTTGCATAAATGGGGAGAAATCAGAGTGGGGAAGCGTCACGAGCGGTGTTCCACAGGGGTCAGTGTTGGGCCCCCTGCTGTTCACAATCTACATAAACGACATAGATGAGGGCATAAAGAGCGACATCAGCAAGTTTGCCGATGACACCAAAATAGGCCGTCGAATTCATTCTGACGAGGACATTCGAGCACTCCAGGAAGATTTGAATAGACTGATGCAGTGGTCGAAGAAGTGGCAGATGCAGTTTAATATAGACAAATGCAAAGTTCTAAATGTTGGACAGGACAATAACCATGCCACATATAAACTAAATAATGTAGATCTTAATATTACGGATTGCGAAAAAGATTTAGGAGTTCTGGTTAGCAGTAATCTGAAACCAAGACAACAGTGCATAAGTGTTCGCAATAAAGCTAATAGAATCCTTGGCTTCATATCAAGAAGCATAAATAATAGAAGTCCTCAGGTTGTTCTTCAACTCTATACATCCTTGGTTAGGCCTCATTTAGATTATGCTGCACAGTTTTGGTCACCGTATTACAGAATGGATATAAATTCTCTGGAAAATGTACAAAGGAGGATGACAAAGTTGATCCCATGTATCAGAACCCTTCCCTATGAGGATAGACTAAGGGCCCTGAATCTGCACTCTCTAGAAAGACGTAGAATTAGGGGGGATATGATTGAGGTGTATAAATGGAAGACAGGAATAAATAAAGAGGATGTAAATAGTGTGCTGAAAATATCTAGCCTAGACAGGACTCGCAGCAATGGTTTTAAGTTAGAAAAATTCAGATTCAGGAAGGATATAGGAAAGTACTGGTTTGGTAATAGAGTTGTGGATGAGTGGAACAAACTCCCAAGTACAGTTATAGAGGCCAGAACGTTGTGTAGCTTTAAAAATAGGTTGGATAAATACATGAGTGGGTGTGGGTGGGTGTGAGTTGGACCTGATAGCTTGTGCTACCAGGTCGGTTGCCGTGTTCCTCCCTTAAGTCAAGGTGACCTGACCTGACCTGACTAGGTTGGGTGCATTGGCTTAAGCCGGTAGGAGACTTGGACCTGCCTCGCATGGGCCAGTAGGCCTGCTGCAGTGTTCCTTCGTTCTTATGTTCTTATAAAAAGGACACATGTGCAATTAATGCGACATTTTTATTGTGGCATTGATGTCCTTTTATTTAACATATTGTCGGTAATTCTACAAACATTATTACAATTTGGCGAATTAATAAAGTATTCTTTTTTGGCGGTGAACAGGTCATATGTAGCCTTAATGACCCTTGTATGTCGATAGGCTTTAAACTTAAATAATCTCACCAACATTCGGGTTCGAATCTCCTCCGGTACGGCTGAAAAACATTAAGGACGTGTTTCCATAAGACACCTGCTGTCCTTGTCCCTGTTCACCCATCAGTATAAAATGGGTACCTGAGTGTTAGTCGACTGGTGTGGGTCGCATCCTGGGACAAAAATGACCTAATTTGCCCGAAATGCTCAGCATAACAAGCGGCTTTCTATATAGTAGTGTCACTGATGTCAGCTATGGCCTGTATACCTTGTACATGTACTTGTAATAAATAACGATATTATTATTATTATTATTATTATTATTATTATTATTATTATTATTATTATTATTATTATTATTATTATTATTATTATTATTATTAGCATAAGGGTGTAACATTTCAGCGCTATTCTAGACTTTTTAGCTATTTCTCCCTATTTGTAATACTTCATTCCACTTTCACTAACCATAGGTATAACTACAGTATATATAACGTTGGTACATAATTTTTCTCAAGTTTTAAAATCATTTGAGATGGGTTCACAAACTTTTTTGTTTTATTTTAATCAGGGGGTGAAGCGCTCTACATATAAGGGTCATATAGTGCAAGAAATGGGAGGGAAATCAGGTTGGATTCAAGGAAGAAGAGGATAAATCTAGTTCCTTGGATCAGTTAGTTCAAGGATTTCGGTTTTCTTTCAGAGTGTTAAAACAAAGAGAAGAATATGTCTTTGCTCATTACCGTGAAACTTAGTACCAGGTCGAGACATCTTGGTCAGCCGGTGCAAAAAAATCACAGTACCGTGGCTACAACACTTCAAAACTAACCCATTACTCTTAAGAGAAAACTAGACAACGTTTTAGTCCGTCTCGGACCACCATCAAGCCACAACTGGTTCAAAACAGATCGAAACATCATCCACAATGAGAGAGAGAGCAGGTATACTCCAGGCTAGAGGTGGGTTGGGGTGGATATTACTGGGCAGAAACCAGGGAGGAGACAGCAGCTGTATCCTAGGCTCCCAGCAGTGATTCCCCAGCCATCAAGGTGGGAGGCTGTACTCTGCTCGTCTCCTTGTTTTGTTGCTGCTCCTGCTTTCACAGGTAAATACCTGTGCATTGTTATCGCCACAGCAGATCAAGAATAAATTCATTATACAATTGTTGTGTCGTACATTTCTTGACATTTCAGACGTTTTGTGGAAGTGCGTTTATGGACTGACCTGAGAACTTCTAGGAAATCTCTGGCTGGTGCTTTATTTTGAAATAGCAACATTCAGTATATTGCAATATTACCGTCATATTTACACAGTGATGGACAAATTTTAACGTTGCTTTCCTCCTTGTAATGAGTCACTCCTGGCTACAAGGGATTTCCACGTTTTGAGGATTAATTTGCTTACTGCTTCAATATATTAGAGACGAATAAGTTAGTGACTTACCTGTTGCAAGCCCTTCAAGGAGGGGGGTTGCCTTGATTCTGACGAAGGGCTCTTGATCCAAGGAATGAGTTCTGTCGTACTCATATCGAACCTGATTACTTCCCATTCACTTAAAACGCTGTTTAACCGCTTATGTGTTTAGCGCTTCCCCATGAATATAGTAATAATAATTCTAATCACATGGTAATCCCTGATGTAATTGCTGATTATAATGTACAAGAGAGCCGCTGTTTCCGTAGTAACAGTTAAGGTCTATCGATGCTCAGGGCTATTAACGCGACAATTAACAGTTACCATTCTTTGATATAGCAACATTGTGAAAGTACCATCATCTATATTTTACAAATGAGAAATCTACGAAACCCACAGTGGCTACTGGTACTCTGGGTTATTATACATGCTAGTCTGTTCTGGCAAATATAGCATAGGACGCCCTCCGTATTCCAATGGGATTTACTAGTGATAAGTAGTATGTTCCAACAAGTCTAAATGACTCTTGAGTTGCTCAGACATGGATAATATTATCTACCATGAGAGTTTATCACATAGGTGGAGGACTAAAAACTAGGCTACTCTAACACATTCCACATACATGAAGCAATGGCAGTTTATAACAGGGAATCCCTTAAGGAGACTTCACTAATCCTGTCTTTTGAAAACAAGGAATTAGACATAACCTCCACTTCCTTGGATCGAACCTGGTTACCTACCATTCCCGATTTCATGAAAAATTCTTAAGATTTCTTTATCCTACCACCAATATCTGTATTTTTGTAAATACTTTGTTTTAAACTATACATTTTCAATAAGAATAACGTGTGACATTGCCAATATTTCAAACATTTCCTCCAGCTTCCCAGAAGTTGGTCATGTGACCACGATATACCCAGTTATTCTTTTCATTAGTTAGTTAATGATATTTCCATCCCATTCACACCAGTTTCAGACAGGAAACGTTTTATCTCATAGCACCGTTGGGGATTTAGGTTATCCCATAGTTTTGACACTGGACATTTATAGCTGTAAAAATCTCTTTATATATAAAAATAAGATTCAATCCTTGACTTGCGTTGATTTTTTATATATTTATGGGTGTCTAGGATTCTCCTTATTGCATAATTTTCTGCTATTGAATCCTTCCGCACCACTAGGAAAATTGAGGTATAAAGCACATACGTATATGCTTTTATATTACTTATCGCTTCTTTCATGCACCACTAGGAAAACTGAAGTAGGTACAAAGTCTGATAATCAGTAAGAACGTGAAAAACATTGCCTTAACGGCTCATTTGCAGCCGTAGACTGTAAGCCTCACAAACTAACTCGGAGTTGCAAGGAAGTATAGCTGGCACGCAGCCTACCTCCTGGGCTGTTGACAATATTAGAAATATCTGCATAACATGTGTTAGTATGATAGTGAAATGAACTGAGCTTCCTGATTAGTATGTTAAAGGTCCTGGAGCTCCATACTGAACTAGGGGGTGCGTCTATTTGAAAGGAATCATTAGTGATACTTTTGGCTCGTTCGTCGATGACTTGAGACAGTTTTCTTACTTAAATATATTTAGTTTCATGCTAGAAGCTTAACTTTGATACAAAATATGACCAGTTATTCAAGTATAAGTACTATTTGCGGCATAAAATGTAGTTTTAAAGTCGATGAAGCTAAAAGTTATAATACTGAGCTTTCAGGTGATGTGGTACTGGTTAGGTTACCTGGAGGTTATTCCGGGGATCAACGCCCCCGCGGCCCGGTCCATGACCAGGCCTCCCGATGGATCAGGGCCTGATCAACTAGGCTGTTACTGCTGGCCGCACGCAGTCCAACGTACGAGCCACAGTCCGGCTGATCCGGCACTGACTTTAGGTATCTGTCCAGCTCTCTCTTGAAGGCAGCCAGGGGTTTATTGGCAATTCCCCTAATGCTTGATGGGAGGCTGTTGAACAGTTTTGGGCCCCGGACACTTATGGTGTTTTCTCTTAGTGTACCAATGGCGCCCCTACTTTTTATTGGGGGCATTTTGCATCGCCTGCCCAGTCTTTTACTTTCGTAGGGAGTGATTTCTGTGTGCAGATTTGGGACCATTCCTTCCAAGATTTTCCAAGTGTAGATTATGATATATCTCTCCCTCCTGCGTCAGTCGAGTACCAAATCGCGTTAGGGATTAAACTCTCAGTGCATTTGTATTATGAAGTATACTTCTTGTTGTATACATCTTGTTTATCATACATAGATAACCTAGTTTACCTAGAAACAGGTATACAACCATCAGCAAAGTCAGTACTTGACCAGCCGGGCTGTGGTTCGTACGTCAGTTTGCGTGCAGGCTGTAGTAACTGCCTGGTTGATCAGACCCTGATCCACCACGAGGCCTGGTCTCAGACCAAGCCGCGGGGGCGTTGACCCCCGAAACCCTCTCCAGGTATCCAGGTAATGCTTTGCAAAAGTAGTTAACTACGATATATTACTTGTACAAAGGGTTTGAAAACGTTTAGAATAGGAGACATGGGCGACTTGGGAGATGTCCAAGATCTGCATGCATGTACTGTTGATGATGGTTGTTTAATCTGAATGTGTTGGAGGCTGGGGTATGATTGTGAGTGCGTTGGTAACATTGGAGGTTGAAGAATGAATGAGGGAGTGTGAATGTCGGAGACTGGGGTGTGCAAGAGAATATGAGCGAGTACACGTGAGGGAAAAATAGTGTGTGTTGGAGGCTAGGGGTATGGAAGAATTAGTTGGAGGCTGGGATATGGAATGTTGGTGTTGAGGTGTGAGTGTTGGAGTCAGGGTACGAGGTCACGGGAGTGGTGGTGGCGGTGTGGGCCGAGTAACCTGCCTCACCCTCCACGAATCAAGGTGTGGGGTTTTTCCACGCTTCCTGTTCTGGTGGCGGGACGTCCTAGTGTTTACTTATAAAACCAGCGCTACCCCAGATATATCAGCCACACATTGGTTTTCACTAACCTTTATATAGGAGAAGTATATAGTATAGAACTTTTGAAATACACAGGAAAATTGAGGGTGAAACTTCAGAAAAGGATGGCGGAGACTAGACTTTATACGAAAACGTTTCAAGATACCTCATGGAACGGAACGTAGGGAAACAAGTGGATTTTTAGGCATGGATTTACCACTAGGCACAAGTGCGATTAAATAGAGAGCTAATATAACGACTTCTAGCTGAGATACCGACTTGTAAGATAAGATAACGACTAGCAAGACTAGGCATCTATTTGCAAGACAAAATAGCAACTGAAAAGACAAGCGAGCGAGCAACTTGCGAGCTATGTTAATGGATATTAAGCCAGAAATTAATTACAAAGATAAATAAATGCAGTGTACACACTGAGGCTTAGATTGATTTGCGAACGGGAACATGTTGAAGGTTTATCTAAATTTATAAGTTTCTTAAAGGTTTGTATATAGATTTGATGTATATATATATATATATACAATATATATATATATATATATATATATATATATATATAATATATATTATATATATATATATATACATATATATATACATATATATATATATATATATATATATATATATATATATATATATATATTATATATATATATATATATATATATATATATATATATATTTCAACAAACCGGCCGTATCCCACCAAGGCAGGGTGGCCCAAAAGGAAAAACGAAAGTTTCTCCTTTTACATTTAGTAATATATACAGAAGAGGTTACTAGCCCCTTGCTCCCGGCATTTTAGTCGCCTCTTACAACACGCATGGCTTACGGAGGAAGAATTCTATTCCACTTCCCCATGGAGATAAGAGGAAATAAACAAGAATAAGAACTAGAAAGAAAATATAAGAAAACCAAGAGGGATGTGTGTATATATATATGCTTGTACATGTATGTGTAGTGTGACCTAAGTGTAAGTAGAAGTAGCAAGACGTACCTGAAACCTTGCATATTTATGAGACAAAAATGGACACCAGCAATCCTACCATCATGTAAAACAATTACAGGCTTTCGTTTTACATTCATTTGGTGGGACGGTAGTACCTCCCTGGGCGGTTGCTGTCTACCAATCTACTACCTATAATATATATTATATATATATATATATATAATATATATATATATATATATATATATATATATATATATATATATATATATATACGTACATATGTAGGTGTTATGTAAGTTTATGCAAGCTCATATCCATGTACTTTATACATGAATTTTAATTTGTATGTTTATATGGATTTTATATAAATTTTTACAGGTTTTATAAAATTTACAGGTACGTACAATAATAGTAACAAATAATTACCTTATTATTAGTGTTTGTAAGCTCTTTATCAAAATTACATAAATATAAATATTAATTGCATATGCAGTATGCAAGGGATATAGCAGACACTGAATATAGAATACGTCAGGGACATATATATATATATATATATATATATATATATATATATATATATATATATATATATATATATATATTATATATATATATATATATATATTTATATATATATATATATGCAAAACAACCACTGTAAAAAAATAGAGAAATTCCAAGCGCTTTCGTGACTACTCACATAATTAAGGAACAATTGTTCCTTGATAATGTGAGTAGTCACGAAAGCGCTTGGAATTTCTCTATCCTTTCACAGTGGTTGTTTTGCATATTCTAAAATCACCTGTTTACTGTGATCTTATTGCATATTACCTGGAGTTTACCTGGAGAGAGTTTCGGGGGTCAACGCCCCCGCGGCCCGGTCTGTGACCAGGCCTCCTGGTGGATCAGCGCCTGATCAACCAGGCTGTTGCTGCTGGCTGCACGCAAACCAACGTACGAGCCACAGCCCGGCTGATCAGGAACTGACTTTAGGTGCTTGTCCAGTGCCAGCTTGAAGACTGCCAGGGGTCTGTTGGTAATCCCCCTTATGTGTGCTGGGAGGCAGTTGAACAGTCTCGGGCCCCTGACACTTATTGTATGGTCTCTTAACGTGCTAGTGACACCCCTGCTTTTCATTGGGGGGATGGTGCATCGTCTGCCAAGTCTTTTGCTTTCGTAGTGAGTGATTTTCGTGTGCAAGTTCGGTACTAGTCCCTCTAGGATTTTCCAGGTGTATATAATCATGTATCTCTCCCTCCTGCGTTCCAGGGAATACAGGTTTAGAAACCTCAAGCGCTCCCAGTAATTGAGGTGTTTTATCTCCGTTATGCGCGCCGTGAAAGTTCTCTGTACATTTTCTAGGTCGGCAATTTCACCTGCCTTGAAAGGTGCTGTTAGAGTGCAGCAATATTCCAGCCTAGATAGAACAAGTGACCTGAAGAGTGTCATCATGGGCTTGGCCTCCCTAGTTTTGAAGGTTCTCATTATCCATCCTGTCATTTTTCTAGCAGATGCGATTGATACAATGTTATGGTCCTTGAAGGTGAATCCTCCGACATAATATATATATATATATATATATATATATATATATATATATATATATATATATATATATATATGTGTGTGTATGTATGTCGTGCCGAATATGTAAAAGATAAGATAAGATAAGATTTCGTTCGGATTTTTAACCCCGGAGGGTTAGCCACCCAGGATAACCCAAGAAAGTCAGTGCGTCACCGAGGACTGTCTAACTTATTTCCATTGGGGTCCTTAATCTTGTCCCCCAGGATGCGACCCACACCAGTCGACTAACACCCAGGTACCTATTTGCTGCTAGGTGAACAGGACAACAGGTGTAAGGAAACGTGTCGAATGTTTCCACCCGCCGGGAATCGAACCCGGGCCCTCCGTGTGTGAAGCGGGAGCTTTAGCCACCAGGCCACCGGGCCACCGGGCCACACCAAACTGGTCAGTTAGCAAGAACTCATTTAAAATTAAGTCCTTTCTAAAAAAAAATTCTTATACGTTTAAAGATATATTTATTTCATTATTGTTAATGTAAAAATTTTTAATTTTGCACCAAAAGAATCTTAGAAAACTTACCTAACCTTATTATAACAAGCGCAATTTATTTTAGCCTAACCCAGCTAAATATATTTTAGATTTGTTTACAATAATTTAATACTAAACAAACACAGTTAAATATATTTTTTTCGTTAGGTTCAGAATGATTTTGGCGAAATTATTGCATACACAAATTTTCACTTGTCCTACATGGCAAGATGAGCGTTGCTGTTTAAGCCAAGATCGCAAATTCTGCCTATTCGGCACGACACACACACACACACACACACAAAACACACACACCACACATATATATATATATATATATATATATATATATATATTTTATATATATTTAAATATATATATATATATTATATATATATATATATATATATATATATATATAATATATATATATATTTATAATATATATATATATATATATATTTATATATTATATATATAAAATATATATATATATATATATATATATATATATATATATATATATATATATATATATATATTATATATATATATATATATATATATATATATATATATATATATATATATATATATATATATATATATATATATATATATATTATGCCTGGAGAGGGTTTCGGGGGTCAACGCCTCCGCGGCCCGGTCGGTCTGTGATCAGGCCTCATGGTGGATAAGGGCCTGATCAACCAGGCTGTTACTGTTGGCCGCAAGCAAACCCCACTTACGACCCACAGCCCCGCAGATCAGGTACTGACTTTAGGTGCCTGTCCAGTGCCTTCTTGAAGACAGCCAGGGGTCTGTTGGTAATCCCCCTTATGCATGCTGGAAGGCAGTTGAACAGTGTTGGGCCCCTGACACTTATTGTGTTGTCTCTTATCGTGCTAGTGGCGCCCCTGCTTTTCATTGGGAGGATGTTGCATCGTCTGCCGAGTCTTTTTTCATTGGGAGTGATTTTCGTGTGCAAGTTTAGTACTAATCCCTCTAGGCTTTTCCAAGTGTATTTAATCATGACTCAACCGCCTGCGTTCTAGGGAGTACAGGTAATTCAGGTGTAATAGTGAGAAATGTAATAAATTTGATTTTACAATAACAATAATAATAATACTTATAATAATAATAATAATAATAATAATAATAATAATAATAATAATAATAATAATAGAGTTATCCTTTAACATGTAGTCCTCTAGGACAGTTTCCCATTATACATAATCATTGTATATTATTATGTAGTGCCCAGTCTCTGGGCCCATTATGTAGTGCCCAGTCTCTGGACCCATTATGTAGTGCCCAGTCCCTGGACCTATTATGTAGTGCCCAGTCCATGACCCTATTAAGTGATGCCGAGTTCCAGAACCCATTATGTGCTTCTGCGCTCATTTTAGACAACCACCCACACGATGGGTAGGTGTCTATTACCCAGAGAATGGGCATGGGGTGGCTATCAAAACTTTAAAACCGATTTTCTTGAGGATAGTGAGTTAAGCTAGCATTGTTATGAAGCATTGTGAAGAATAGTGAGTTGACGCAGCATTGTTATGAGGCATCATAAAACTGAGTTGAAGCAGCATTTTACCTCACAAGCAACATAATTACAGTCCAGTTGATTCGTCCTCAAGGTGATCAACTCTGGGGTGAGATCAGCCTTCCTATTACCTGCATCGGATAGCAAGGAGTTGAATCCTTTTCTGTCACTAAGTAAAGATTGCATGTACACCGAGAGATGTATATTTCAGTGTATATTTGTTGAGACGTGTGAATCTCGTAGTGTATATACCGAAAGATGTAATTTTCATTGTATTTACAGCGAAAGGCATTTTTCTTAATATACCCCGAGAGGTATTTATTTGTGTATATACACCGAGTTGAATATTTCTCAGTATATACACACCAAAAGTTGTGTATTTCGCAGTGTAAATATACCGAGAGCTATGTATTTCTAAGTGTATATATGCCTAGAGATTTTTTTATAGGAATTAAAACACCCTTGTAGTTCAGAGGTTTTAATTTTAATGAATCATATCATACTTACTCGGACTTAGAGGAGGATAAGTCATGGTCCAGGAAAAATCAAGTAGTGAGGTTTATTTCCGTGGAATTTTTAGGTTCTTAACCCAAGGATGAGATTGGTAGCAGTCTGCTAACTCCTAAGTACCTATTTACTGCTAAGTGAACATGGACAGGTGCTAGATTTATTCAGTCTCGGACCTCCTAGTAACCGGGTACGTTAATTGTGAGGTAATGCTCCACCGACCCTCCTAGTAACCGAACCCTGGTACGTTAATTGTGAGGCAATGCTCCACCGACCCTCCCAGTAACCGACCCCGGGCACGTTAATTGTGAGGCAATGATTCACCGACCCTCCTAGTAACCGAACCCGAGTTACTAGTAACCAAACCCGGGTACGTTAATTGTGAGGTAGTGATCCACCGACCCTCCTAGTAACCGAACCCGGGTACGTTAATTGTGAGACTATTGCTCTGCTATTCCTCCTAGCAACCGATCCCGCATACACTAACTTACTAGGCTAACGCTCCGCCAGGAAGTAATTAGGTTTTATCCAAGGGAGGATAGCTCTAATTCCTTGGATCAAAAATCTTTAACGGGCATTAAGGTACCCTCCCTTGAAGGGATCTCAGTGTGTGCGAAAGGCCGTTAAGACGTGTAGGGTATCTGCTCCCTTTTAGACCTACTAACTGACGCATCGAGGGGGGGGGGAGGCCTTGAGGCGGTGAAGGGCTTTTGATCCAAGGAGTTAAAGCTATCATCCTTTTAGAACAAATTTTATTACCTCCCATTCTGTAAGTTCTGTATGACCTTTGTGGGTTTAGTGCTTCCCCATCAATTTATTAATAATAATAATATCACTGCAGTATCTGCTTATACGTCTGTATGTATGCATGTTTTAGATGTATGAAATATACATGTGTGTATGCATTTCGTGTATATTTAAAAATATGTTGTATATATGTAATGTGTGTGTATGTGAGTTTTATAAACATTTATGTTTTAATTGACTATGTCCACCTTAGGTGTCGGTTGAGTAATGTGTTTCCTGGTGGTGACGGTGTTGGTGGTGGTGGCGTCGCTAGGAGGAAGCTACGCTCAACGAGGAGCTGGTAAGTATCACCTTCACTCATTCAACACTCACTGCTAGGACACTCAGCTTCCATGCATTCATCGTTCACAGCTAGGACATTCAACCTGCTATTAATTCAACACTCTGTGCTAGGATATTCGGCTTCCCATCATCCACATTCCCATCATTCAACTCTCAGTGCCAGGACATCCGACTTCCGTTCATTCTCCGTCTTAACATCTGTACTTATTCCAAATACATTAAAAACAGATTAAATATACACTTAGTTTCTCTTTTATCTATTACGTATATGCAGAAAGAGAGCTAGCTAACCCTTGTGTCAGGCAGTTTAATCGCCCACGACACTCAAAGCCTAGGAAAAGGTTCTAACCCATTTGTCCCACTGAGGAATTGGAACGGAAACTTAATATGATTGAAAAGTATTATGATCCACTCAGGAAGGCTACCCCTTCACCTTGTGTTTATATATTACTGGTGAAAGTTATATATATATATCTCAGTCCTAACTAGGCTTTCCATTGGTGTTTCCTCAGATACCTCCTGTCAGCGAATATATTGTGTACAAGTCTACAAATTGGAAACTAGAACTGAATGATGTTCTTGACAAAGCTAAAAATCTTTGCAAATTTGTGCGCTTGTTTTGATTTGATTCAGCAGTGGTATGCTGCTTTGTTCTTCATTGTGTTTTAGTATAGAAAAAGAGTAATAAGCGCCGGTCAGTGAAACAGAGGTATCAACTCGGAGATAATTAAAAAGGAAATAAATTATGTACATTGACCTCTCCCTGAGCTTCTTCAGTAGCTTCCTTCACATACTTAGTGTGTCATACATGTATCATTGGCTGTGATGTTGCAGGTTGTCGGGGAGCCAATTCTCAGCAGGGTACGTGCGGTACCATAGGAGACTGCCCACCCCTCTTTGGTCTTTTAGGGCAGCTGCGTGCAGGGACTGCGCCACCCGGCGCTCTGGACACCTTGCGAAGGTCAATACCTCAGTACTCCGATTGATTGTGTATATAAATATATATATATATATATATATATATATATATATATATATATATATATATTATATATATATATATTATATATATATATATATATATATATATATATATATATATATATATATATATATATATATATATATATATATATATATATATATATATATATATATGTATGTCGTGCCGAATATGTAAAACTGGTCAATTAGCAAGAACTCATTTAAAATTAAGTCCTTTCTAAAATTTTCCCTTATACGTTTAAAGATATTTTTTTTCATTAATGTTAATGTAAAAAAATTTAATTTTGCACCAAAAGAATCTTAGAAAACGTACCTAACCTTATTATAACAAGAACAGTTTATTTTAACCTAACCCAACTATATATATTTTAGATTTGTTTACAATAATTTAATACTAAACAAACACAGTGAAATATATTTTTTCGTTAGGTTCAGAATGATTTTGG